AGCTGGTGATGAGCTGGCATGGGCACGGTTGCCATGATAGGCCGGACTGCCCATTTGCTGCTTTGGAGCCTACCTAACTGCTGCGCCGTGGGCGTTGGCGGCTCAGGAGTACAGCGGTGAGGCAGGCAAGCAAGCAAGCAGCGGCTCGAGAGAGTCGAGACGCATTATTCGGATTCAGGAGAGGGTAGTGGTTTGCAGCTGGACAAGGACTGGACATGCACTTGACAGGCACAGTACAAGGCACGGCGTGGCGGCGGCGGGCTGAGTGGATGACGGAGGCGCTGGCCGTCGTTCACGGTGCCGCTTAGCGTAATCTTGCGCGCCATTCAATCACGGCGACGACTGTCCCGCCCATCCTACCTCAGCGCCCTCCTGTATCATGCCGTGCGGGCAGTCTGTATTATTATCATTATGTATGTATGTACGTATCTATCTATCTATCTATCTACGGATTAGCTAGAGCATAGCATCGCTGCTGTAGCCCGCCGTCGAGGTTGCGAACTGGGCCACTCCATCCCATCTCACCTCCGTGCACGTCAAGCCCTACATACACCACGCTCCCCTGCCCATAATGAAGCCTCAAGCTCATCCCCGCCAACAAGTCGCCAGCCTGCGACGGCGCTGTGCCTGATCGGCCGCTTCCAGATCTACCAACCCGCGCTCGCTCAGGAGAAGCATTCCTGTGCTCGCTGGGCCAACGTCTGGGGGGAGCACACGATCCGGTACGTCCAATTATTCCTCGTTGCGGCCACCTGCAATTCTTTTGCAGCGCGCCCCACTGCTCCTGGCCTTGTCCTTGTCCTCGCTCCGTGAAAAAAAAGAACCGTATGTAATGCCACTCTCCATCATTACACCCTGCCCAAGCCGCGACCCCTCTGCCCTGCAGCCGTCGCCTCTGCTGGCCGCTGTGACCCTCCCTCTGTACCTGCAGCCACGAGGTCTCACAGCACTGGCTTCCTCCCAGGCTCTCCCTCTCCGACCGTCATACAGCGTCCCACAGCTTCGTTGCTCGGCCCTAATCTTCTCTCGTCCAGCTCTCTCTTCGAGGCGGCAGCATTTCTCTGCCACAGCGCCCCCGATCCCAACGCCCTCCCACACCCTGCGAAGCCCCCCATCTCCACTCGCCCTCGCCGTTGATACCGCTCCCTATATGGTAATCCACAAAGGAACACTGTTTCACTCCGCCTGATATGAGTCTGGATCAGCACATACATGGGTACGAATTCCCCCTCTATCCGGCGCAGGCCCGCTGTGCTCCCTGCCCCGAGGTGCATTCCAGATGGACGTCATGACGCTGTGGGGTCGGTGCAATGAGTCTTCAAAAGAACTTTGTGGGCGATGGATCAGTCAATGGGTCGCTACTGCCTATGTGCATCGACACTCCGTCAAATCACCTTGCTCGTTGGGTTTTCTGCATTTAGGCAGGGCAGGCAGCACTGTACCGCACGGTCGCCGTCTCGAAGCTCTATGCACCGACCAAGCTTTGCTAAAAGCCGAACCGCACCGCCGCATCTCGTTCCAAAACGCACTGCAACACTGTCAATGACAATCAATTGCATTGTCTATTACCATCATCTTATCTGTCCCTCCTGCACTCGTGCACCCTGACATGTTTCAACGCTAATATTTGTTTCAATCCTTAGATCCACGGACTGGCATCTCCCAAGTCCATCCTCGACGCCTAAATCCGTAACATTTCCGGACTCGACCTCAAACTTGAAGACTCCCAAAGCAGAGGTTGCCCCTCAGTCACATTTCCTTGACGCTTGGTCCACGCCCCGGGTCAATGGGCAGCAGACGCCCGCACAAACGCCGTCCTTTGCTCTGTCCACTCCGGTAGAGCGGCCCTCGAGCTCGTACAGCCAGAAGATTCACACGCCTGATGATCCAGAATTTCATGTCAACCACTTCACGCCAAGCAACCTCCCTCTTCCTCCCGTCGATCCCTCCCGAAGGTTGTCGTCTTCGCCGGACCCCCTATCAGTGAAGGACCTGCACGGCTCACTGCGAAAAAATCCGTCATTAGGATCTCGCCCTGTCAGCATGGATACATCCCAAATGCAGACCCCACCTCCTACAAGAGATGCTACATCACGGAGAGGTGCGCAGCAAGGCGCAGGGCATGAGTTTACTACGCCAGCCACGGTCATAGCGAGGATGCCAAATCAGGCCCAGCCGTCTGATGGACTCTTCAACCAAACGCCATTGGGGTTCCCGAGCCTACAATTCTCGCCAGATTTGGTTCAATTCCCCAGCGCCGGACCAATGTCCGCCCCAGCTCTACCACAATCCCGCTTGTTCTGGGACCAACCTTCTGATGACCACAACATGGATGTAGACATGCCCATAGTGTCAGACCCCTTTGGCCCCACGCCTCACAAAGTTGATGATTTGAACTGGCAAACTTTCCACACTCCTAACCAAATGAACCCGCAAGCCTTTCAAGCCTTGCACGGCGTGTCGTCTCCTGGGCCAACCGTTTCTTTTTCAATGAACAACGCCGGTTCTGTAGAGACCTCAAATTCGAGACCCAGCTCGTTCATTTCGACATCAGGGGGTGTCGATCCCAGTATGTTGTTCAGTTTCTCGAGCCCAGGTCCTACCGCATCAATCAACAACCCTACGCAGCAAGCAAATATAAATTATGAAGGGAGGCTACCATACGAGACACAGGCTCGGCAGGCTCGGGATGCTCTCCGTGAGAGAGAAGCGGCCAAGAGTCAACATTCGCGTACTAATACATCATCATCCACTGCATCATTTGAGAGCCTTAGACCTGGGTTACAGCGAAGCAATACTGACAGCGGCTTCCGGAGCAGCAGGCCATCCTCAATGGAATCGAAATCATCAGGGTCGGCGGTAGGTTTCAACATCCCCCGTCGCTCGTCACCATTAAAGCGGCAGAGTGGAGGCTCTCTGATGTCCATCCCCGAAGTTCGAAGGCCAAGGACCAGGCTCGTCGTTGACGACAGCGGTCGTGCGCGCACTGAGACGATTCCGGCCGAGGGTGACAAGGATTCGATAAAGGACACGCGCATAGACTCTCAGAAAGATTTCAGGCGTCAATATCCAGGCCTCTGGAATGACGAGGACAGCGAATCGGAGTCAGAAGAACCCCTTACTCTGAGCCGGAACCCTTCTTTCGACATTCCCCAGCGACGGTCTTCGAAACATGCTAGGGCCGACAGCAACGGAATCGATCGAGCCAATTCTTTCAAAATACCCAGACCATCGTCGGGCATGTTTGACAAATCATCGTTTGAGACAATCCGTCCAATTCGACCCACCAAGAAGGTCGCAGACAACCCCTTCCGTAGATACAGCATGATGGACTTTCCCACCTCCTACAACGATAACAAAGACAGCGACGACCAGCAGATGCCCGACTCTCCAGGAAATGCCCTTGGTGCCTTAAAAAAGGTCGTTGAAGGCCGGCAGAAGAGGATTGGTACGAATTTTGCAGTCGTTTGCGTTTAATTTGCTAATATGTTTAAATAAGATCATGCGTCTCAAAACACTCTCAAAGCGCACAATCAGAGATGGGCACAGGCTTCCACAGAGTTTACGAATGCGAGTAACAGTCCCCATGGTCTGCATGACCCCTACTCCAGCGGGTTCAACGCATCGCCTGCGAATACCACGGATGGGGTTCTTACCACACCTTCTACAGATCGAAGCAGCCTCTCGAGTGAAAGCACCCGCTGTGTCTGCAATGCCATCGATGACGGTCGGCCAATGGTCCAGTGTGAATCCTGCAACAAATGGTTGCATATGGCTTGCGTTGGCCTGAACGTACAGAACCTCCCTCCCGTCTACGTATGCATATTCTGCACCGGTCAGACGCCGATTGCGAGAGGCGGCAGGATAAGAGGGCCCCTGCCTCAATTCGACTCGCCTCTAACGCACAAGTCTGTTTTCCGGCGATAGAAAATTTCATCGACCCACCGGCCCACTTAGTCACTTTAGCAGCCGCAATCGAAAGTTTCTTTCCAAAACTTATTTGACGTGGAATTTAGTCCTTCCGAGAACACTAGGATACCCGAAGCCGATGGATCGATTCACCGCTTCCTACTTGAGCATAACCAGCATTTTCCGACTTTTCTCTCGAGCATTTCCTTTTTCTGTCTCTTTAGCGTTGCCTTTATTCGGAGCAAGTGGCATCTATTATACACGTTGCATACCCTCACCGGTTTCTCTTCCCCCTCCCGCCAATTCTCACCCCCGCAATTCAAGAGCTCGAGCCCTAATTAGCAAGTATGAATCCCTCCCCCGACACGCCTGACCGGTAACCGACTACGCCACCTTCCGACCTATCACTGCCTCCCGACTGGTTCGGGAGTTGTGAGTACGTGGCCCTTAATGTCTTGTCTATCTCTGCTTGTGTTCTGCGGAGGATAGCTGGGTTAGAAGTAATGCTGTCGAGCTCACCTATGTGGATGGAGTTATTTTATTTTGCGTGGATTTTTCCTTTTTTTTCTTACGCTCCTTATGTCACCCTCCCCTTTACGAACGGATGAAGGTGGTGGATTGATACGAAATTAATGCGTTGAGATGTGCGTAATGAATGTGGATCTTTGCTTACGGCAGATGATGGATTGATGGATTTGGGAGAAAACGTAGGGGGTGGTTTTTGTATGTATAGATTTTTTTTTCTTTGATGGTGAGGGGATCGAGAAGAGAAATATATTGAAAGGTCATGATGGTTTGCGTTCGTGGCTGTGATTGTGAGTGTGATGTGATGATGGTGTCATTGTCATTCAGACTTGGGTTCGTTGCTAGAAGAGTTTCTGGTGCTGATTGATGATGAATGAATGGGACGGTACAAGATCAATGTCCTATCCATCTATACATAATTCGCAAAGTGCCTACTTGTAGGGAAAGTTTTAAACAAGTAATACTCTCCATCCGCGCCACCAAACGAAGCAAAATTAAAAACACTCCACGCCAAAAGAAAATCCACCGAAGAATATACAATGACCAAAAAAGACTACTATGCCAAGCGAGGGACATGGGGCTCGAACCCACAACCTTTGGTGTAACAGACACATAAGAACCGAAAACCAACGCGCTACCATTGCGCCAATCCCCCGTTCGTTAGGTGATTAGTATTGTTTTTTTAAATTATAACTCCTATATAGAAAGAATCTTAATCGTAGAAAAGAATAATTCAGTAGAGAAGTTAAGTGGGGAAATGAGGCGGGGGCTAGGATAGACGACGTATGATTGGTGGACGAGCAGCGGATCACATGCGAGATTTTATGGATCGGGCTGTTGGCACGCATTAAGGATAGCTACACTATTTCGGCCAACGGTTTCTATCAATTGTTGTTCTGGTTTCATACTTAAGAATTGGATGAAATTGTTAAGTTTTTTTTTTTTTATTTAGCGCCATCTAGTCCACAAATTATACCCTTTTCCCAAGGTGTATGTATATATTTGTGCAGGTTAGGAGTGTCCGGATATTTATTTACGCTCCGGCATGTTGAGCAGCTTGCTTGATGCTTGCCTGTTACCATTCCGCTGGTATCCCCCGCCTGTTCGATATATTCCAAAGTGCAGCTTATATAGATCGGATCTACCTTAGGACTGCCAGGCAATCACCAGGTCTGACTATTTCCTTTACAACTTTCTTTGGTTCGGGAGGAATCGTGAAATGACATAGTAGGATATAAGGATTATTCTCGCAGCGAGGATTTAGCTACGAACTTACTAAAGTTTAAACTTTACGCTTTTAAATATAGGAGGTGTGAGGAATCTATACACTAAACTTCACGCGGGCCAGTATTACCGTAAACTGAGCGATTTCGAATCGATCCAATATGAACATTTGTACGCACAGAAACATTCTCGGCATATATTATCTTTGAACAAGCTATTTGGAATCTTGAATTTGAGAGATTATATGATGGATGATGTTCAGCAGCGATTTTCTGGAAATGTACAGCGTTTATGGGGTATACGGGATTGTACCCTCCCTATATCTTACACCACAATTTTGATATTAATTCCAGCACAACCATATGCCTCGGCAACTGGGAATTTTCGGTTTTCTAAGATAATTGTAGAGCCGTTGCTCTTTCCCGTTACAAACGATACGATTCGATACGATGCGGCGCGCGTATAAGGTGGAGAGTGATATTCCTGCCGATGTCCGTAGGCTCTGGTGCTTGGTTCAGCATCTGTGGCAATACTGAGTGCTTTTGCCTTGACCAGGTTGACTCTGAGTTGGCTGGTGGATAATAAACTCAAAACCATTTGAGAAGCAGTAAAACGAGGCTTAAGAGCGACAAAAGTGGACAGCGTCAGCCACGAGAACGGTAGATGTTCGATGCGGGAAGATCAGTAACTACAGAAAAATCCCTCACTACAAGAACTTACTTACCCCATCCACTCGCCTATATCATGTACAATGACCTATCCCAAAATCCTATTTCCTAGCGCAACCTATCCTCCTTTCTCCTCCACCACCCTCGCCTAGTAGAAACTAACACACCGCTCACCAACTATTCACGGCCCTCGTAAAAACCCAAACTCCACCCCTCCCTCTCACTTAAACCAAGAAATACAACATCCGTGACGACCCCCATCCACCAAACCCCCATACCAAAATGCCATCCCCACATCCCGTGCACGCAAACAACCCCCCTTCATCACCAATGCACAAAAAAAAAAAAAAAAAAACCAGCTTGGAAAACAACGCACTCGAAACCCGCAACAGTATCCTTTCCTTCATCACCGCCCATTATATAGCACGGCAATCTCATCTCAGCACCGTACATCTTCGAGATGCAGCATCGACCGAATATGCACACAAAGCTCTTGTGCGGATGCGGACGAGGTACCCGCTCCGATGTAGGAAAGAACTTCTCGTCTCTGCTGTTAATAGGCCAGCGTGTGTATGCATAATCTATCATGTTCACGAATATGATATACATACTCGGCCAAGCACGAATTCACCGCCGCTACATGCGTGCTACACACCCCGTCTCCATATCCTTCGATCGCATGAGGTGAGTTACTTGCTTCCCAAGGCTCTATAGTATTAGTATTCCGAGAAAACAGCACACTAACACTAAACTCAGATCTAGTCTTCGTTAGAGACATAATATTCATCCTAGAATTGAAATATATATAAACCAACTCCAACCACCACTCCATCTCTATACATAGTCTCGCAAAGACATAGACCTGCCTCACTCCTACAATCTCACCTCGAAGGCCCATGCTTAAGAATAAATACTGATATCCCCTCCCTCCCCGCCCACTCACGTCGTTAAAAATTTCCATCTACCTCAAAAGTATATACTAATACCTCCCATCAATACTCGACAATCTTCACCCCTCCCCTAACTTTCTCAGGCAGATCCTCCTTCCTCACGATTCCCAACTGAATCGCATCGCCCCACACAAACATAGCCCGTTCCTGCGCATATGCCAGGTAATCGAACTCCTCATCCTCATCAGCCTCCTTCTCACCCTTACCTCCCTCTTCATTCCTAGCCTCATCCTTCATCTCCTTGGTCGCGCTCTCCAGCTCTGAGTTAACATTGCGGCCGCCATCCTGCTTCCCATCTTTGTTCTCGAAATCCGGTAGCCCAGGTATATGCGCCTGCACAATGCCCCAAGCAACCCATTGCGCCGAGTTGGCGAGCCGCCAGATCCTCGTCTCTGCCATAAGCCGCTCAATCTCTTGCTCCGTCTTCTGCTCCGACTGAGCCTCTTGCTCGTGGTAGGATACTCGTTCCCCCGGCGGAGCGCGCGAGTCTAGCATGAATGCAGAAATGGATGACGGGGTTGCTGTGGCGGCCGCAGCGGTGGCGCTCCCGGATGAGGAGAGCGGCCGGAGCTGTGGCGTGGGCGGAAGGGATGCGTTGCGGCCAGGCGCCTTGTAGCTTGGGTTATGCAAGAGGTAGGCGCGGATGAAGCGATGCTGTTCCTCTGGTGTGGGGTAATAGCCCGTGTTACAGCGGAATGGGAATTCGCTATGGTAATTGTAACACCACTCTGTCTGTAAGAAAAATCAGTATAGTTCAAGACGAGTCCTAGCGGACGGCGGCAAAAGCTAAGATTCAAGCCTTACAAAGTGATTCGCAAACTCAAGACCGGGAAGGTTAGCATTCGCATACTCGAAATCGATAACGACGAGCTGCTTATGCTCGTTGGCGGGTAGGAGGAGTGGAGACTCGCCAGAAGGGAGAAGCCGAAGAATGTTTCCATATTGAGCCTGCCATATATTAATAATGTGAAGTGCTTTCCCATGTAATCCGATGAGCTCACATCGTTATGGGCGAAGACAAGCCGCTCATTGACTCCGCCGGGCCCACCATACTGCTCTTCCAACCATTGCCTGTACTTCTCTATCATCTGCCTAAAGATTGGCCATTGAACGCCGCAGATAAATCCGCGCTGCTTCCAGGCATCGGAGGCGGAAGACGTAGAATTCTTCTGGTATTCCAGTATTTGCTCATCAAGCCAGCTTATGACCTGCCCACAGCGATTGACCCATTTGTCCCAGTTGCGCCACACAAATGGCCCGTCATTTCGCTCTTTCTCAAGCAGATCGATTCCTTCGTGGAGCTCTCGCATGCGCTTGGCGATCTGTTTAGAAGTGTCTGGGATGCGCAAGTCTTCAAAGGTCAGCGTTTTAGCATGAAGATATTCTTCAAATCTTCCATTAGAGAATGTCCCAAGCAGCCGCGGTCCGATATGTTTGCGGGCAAGTCGTTGGAGGATCTGCAGTTCAGCCTCTCGGTCAATCAAGTGCTCTACTTGCGGACCATAGATACGGAGCAGGAGTTTGCTATTCCATATTAGAACTGGGCCAAACTAAGGACAGCTGACTCACGGCGGCGGATTCCTTGGAGTCGGGCGCGTATCCCCATCCTCTGCCTGGAAAGTTTGCGATGGTAGGTCCTTGGGTGGCGATACAACGTAAACTGCGTTCGTCAATGCACCGCTCAGTCTCTCAACGCCAACAGCATTGCTCAGTTCTAACGGTACGCGGCGCCAACCCTTGAGTTTCAGAGTATGAGCAAGCCGCACAATCTCATATTTGAAGGTGGACCAAGCCTCCCTATCTCTGTTAAGACTGTTCTGCCTGCTCAAACCAGCCTCCTTGACCCCAGGTTCTGGTGCCCCTCCGCCATACGCTAGAGTCTTCGAGTTATCGAGAACAGCATCGCAGCTAGGAACAAGTTGATCAACACTATCGAAATACTCTGTATCCGATGACGCCGCTGAATGGCGTTTCAACATGGCCGACAACCTGTAGCTACTTCTTCGTCTGCGAGGAGCTTTCTCACTCGACTTTAGGGACAAGCTCTTCTCCAAGATATTTGCTAGATTCTCAAGAGCAACGGAGCCTTCTGAAGAACCAGAACCTCGTCTCTCACGAGATGGTGTGACATCAGTTCCAGCAGCGGTGTCTTCGTGTGACTTTGTGGCTTGTGAAGCATCTTTGGACGAGGCCTTCCTCTTTGCTTTGCGTGCTGTGCGCCTTGCCTTCTCGTCCTTGAGCCAGGACTGTACTTGCTTGAGCAGACTCTCGTGAGCGCGTCCGTGTTGAGCGGCGCTAGCTGGGGGATCCGAGTCATCACTGATAAGGGACGATAGAGAAGGATTTCCGGCTATAGCTTGTCTTGCTGCCGAACCTAAGCGTTCAATTGATGGCCTACCAGACAATCGCTTGCCGCTTACACTCGCGCGGTACTGCTTTGCGGACTTGTCGAGGTCGAGGGTGTCATTTTGGTCAAGGTCTTTTGACCTACCTACCATCAACGGGGAAATGCTTTCGGGCTCGGCAATGGTTACAACTGTTATCAAATGATAAGCATGGCGTCCAAGGACAACGATTATTTCGATTCGCGTTCGGAACTGGGCCAGCTTGTGGACTTTTGGGGGAGGCGATAGAAGTTCGAAGCTCGGAAGAATAGCCGAAGCCCCGTAATGGCAGCTCAAACAGCGCAGTTGCGTGAGTTGCAGCCGTCTCGCGAACGAGCTACTATGATTGGGGCGACGAATGATTCAGAGTGGTGCGACCAGAGAAATGCAAGGGACTGACTGACACGGGATATCGGAAGTTGACGCCCA